AAATTGAAAAAAAAAAAAAAAAAAAAAAAAAACAGATAAATCAAGGGAAAGCTCCCCACATGAACAAATGCAAATTCACAAATCCTAATCCACAGGAATCTATGGTGAAATAATTCATACCTGCCTTAAAGTCCTTCTCTGGTTCAGAGCATACATGTTATCAGAGGCAGTTTCCTGAGTTATACATATAGGAGGAACAGTGCTTTCGCAGGCCATATCAAATGCACGGAGCGTATCCTCATAACCATAATGTTCCAAGTATGAGCGCACTATTCTGATAACAAAGAACAAAGTATCAGCAATCAGATCATGTACACTGTTCTGACATGAAACGAAGTATGTACATAGTAATCTACGAATATGCACAATTACAAGTTTGTCCCTCATTCAAGCTCTATCCTGCTGCTTTCGTACTGTCACCATTCTCATTGAAATGTCTATTCCAACATTCATCCATGCATACACACACACATATATATCAAGTATCAATAGTATTTGCTAGCCAGTTGGTTTCTGGAAGTCTATGAATAAATAAATAAACGTGGCTTCTGGATGATGGAAGGTTATCATTATATTTAATCAATCTCATAGATTTTATCATTGTAACACCAATTCTGTAACGTCTGTTATTTTATCAAATAACAAATCATCTTAAAAATTTGTAAAACACGACTGTCAGAGAAATCTGATTCTCTTTCTTAGCGGTGCTCAAGAGTTGGCCGATTGTTGAAAGCTCAAAATTGTACTAGCTACAATTTATTAACAGACCTTCAGTCAACTACTCAGGAGTTTCCTAAAAACTAATCCTCAACCAAATGTTGTATAGTCAAATGGTTAGTCTACAATTCAAACCTGCAATCAGAGGATTTAAGGATATTCAAAAGCAATTTTCTTTACCTATAACTGACATTTGATGGCAAAGATAACTTCTCAACGGTGGCTTGTTGCTTCATCCTCTCTTGGGCTTCCAATACCTACGAACAACAATGCAACACAGGAAAAATATCAATATGCATTTTGGTTCCAATCTCAATGTTTAGATACTACTATCACAAGTATTATGCAAGAAACAATTTAAACTCGTAAGAATTTTTTGGGAGCATGCTTCCTGTTTCTGTAACTTCTAAAATCCGGCACATTATTGAATACACTATTGAAGAAACAATATACATCAAATTATTCATATTTTTATGAATAACCGTACTTTTATTGGGAAAAAAAGAAAAGAATACAAGAACATACAAAAGAAGTCCACTAAAAGGAATTAAATTATACAAAAGGGCTCCAATCAAGTAAAATAAGACTGAGGGTAATTACAGAAAGGACTTTGACACCAAAACTCCCCGTGAAACATAGAATCTAATAAAGGTCAAACATCATTCAAAAACTTTTCTCAAACCCTAAAGATTCAATTATTTTTCTTGCCTCAAAGACCCCACAAAATANAAAAAAAAAAAAAAAAAAAAAAAAAAAAAAAAAAAAAAAAAAAAAACTTTCTCGCAAAAAGAAGAATGGAGAAGGAGATCCTCAATCATCTCTACAGCCCTAAAAGTTGGTAAAGCAAAAACCAAACACTCAAAGAAACAACTCCAAACGGCACTAGCATAATCACATCTCCATAGAAGATGATCAAGGTCCTTTGCTGCCCTCCAACAAAGAATACAAAAGAGCAGCCCAACCAACATGAACCCTCTTTCCAAGACCCAATCAAAGGTCTTAACTCTTCCATATAAAAACGTCATACAAAGAACTTAATCTTCTTGGGAATCCTCACCTTCCACACAAAGGAAAAAAACTGAACCGCTCAATAGGGAGGAATGGACCAAACACTGCAAGAATGAACTATCAGAAAAGCCTTTAGACGAACAGGCACTCCAAAGGGAAGCATCCCTCCTATTAGGGCTAGGGTGAAAGTCACCCAACAAAGCCAAAACTTTTTTGCTTTCCTATTGGTCAACGGACAACAAAAAACCCAAGGAAAGGAGAAGGTTGGACCTCGTAATGAGAAAGAATTGAAGTCACTGAATGATTCTTCAAAGACAACAACTGATGTAACCGAGGGGTCTATCCCCCAATCACATATGCTTCCCAAAAGTAAGCCTCTCTCTCATCTCCTATTACACTAAAAACAAAGGAAGTTGAACTAAATATTTTTCCACGAGTCTTTGGAAGTGCCTTTATGACCAATAATACATTCTAAATGATGCTGCCATGTTGGCTGACAATAACAGGATGGTTGTTGCTTTATTAAGTAGTGGGCTCTTAAAGGGGTGTTAAAATTTTGGAATCAAAAGTTTTTTTTTTTTTTTTTTTCTGGAACTTAAGAATTAAGCAACAAGCATTAGGGAAGCTCAAGCACTAGATTGGCTGAAGGAGAACAATAAATAGGTTCGATTCTTAATTGGATAATAAAACCCCAATTTATGAAGATTTATTCCTTCTCTTCAAGATCATACATCAATTGCGATGATTTAAAAAATGACATTGGGATAGATGTAAATTAACAATATCACCAAAACTGTATAAGAAGTTTCTCCTCATACGGCTAGCATGACCAGCTTTGTGATACCTGAAATGAAATAGAGAAGGGCAAAGATTCCTGACTTAGAGCATGTTATTGACTCGACCACAAATTTGTGAAATAAAGGTGGCTTGTTTACTTTCAACCACTAGTTAGAAGGAAGTTCACTGACTTCATTTAGCTCATTATGCAATAAAGAAAGCAAGTGAGGCAGACTAAGCTTCCATACAAAATAAGGTAAGAGGATTCAGTCTTGCACCATTTTGAAGGGAGGCTTAATGAGCCTTGTAAGGAGGAGCGTTTGGAAATAAAGGCCATGTTTGTGGAAATTGTTAGAAAGGAAAGTGTGAGTCAGGGATAGAAAACGAAGGTTAAATGGGTGAGTTAATGAAATTGTAATATGACTTATTTTCAGAATTTCTAGTGGTAGAAGGAATAAATATTTTATTAGCTCTCCTGAGAATGAGGCTGACTTGGTGCTGAAAGGGAACAGGGAGATTGAGGAGGAAGTTCTTTCTTCATTTTTTTTTTTCTTTTTTCTTTTCCGTCTCTGTATGGTGCAGTGGTGGTTCCTAGACCATTCTGGGATGGGGTGCACAAGAGTCCTATCTCTTTCACTGACAAAGGTTTGTTAGACTCTGCTTTCTCCCTCGAGGAAATTAGAAGAGTGGTGTTTGAGTTTGACGGAAACAAAGCTTTAGGTCCTGATGAGTTTCCGATGGTTTTTTCCAAGATAACTGGGTGCATATCAAGGAGGATCTTTGGAGAGTCTCCAATGAGTTTTATGAGAGAGACCTCCTAGATAGCTCTCTGAATAAAACTATTGTTTTCCTTATTCCTAATAAAGAAAAAGGCCACGAAGGTTAAAGAGTTTAGACCTATCAATCTTGTGACGTGTATAAGATAATTGCCAAGGCATTGACAAATAGACTTAGAAGGTTCTCCCCACAACGATTTCAAACACCCAAGGGGCTTTTTTGATGAAAGTTTTGTTTCATAATTTTTGTTCCAACTCTTTAACTATGGGTTCATCAAATAAAGGGCCATCCTCAATAAAACCGTTAAAGCAGCACATACACCTAGTCATTCTCCCAGGGCAAACTTCAAATTATTGTAGGAAAAGCTTAAAAATGCAAGAACATCTTCAGTCTCAAGAAACTTAAATTTAAAAAATAGCAAGGTTTTTAACTCAGCAAGAAGAAAGGATTTTCTTTCCTAGAAAAGGTTAACTATTTTCTGTACTAGCAGGTGAAAACAGGTCCTAGACAGAAAATACACATTCTGGCACCTAAAATTGAACCGGTGAAGTATAATAGACCATTAGTGTTTCCTCCTACAAAGATCAACCCAAATACCCATGATCGGGAGAAAAAAAAATAGACAAATTGTCTGCTTCTCAAGAATGAGTATAAGATCCTCAGATTATTGCAAAGGGAGACTGATGATTAAGGGGGCAGAAGTCCAGAAACTGACCTTGAGATCAAACGCAAACGGTTTCTGTCCAAAGTTGACTTGCACCCTGCCAAATTGTAAGAAAATGTATCTCTTAATCAAGATATCCATAAAAATTATGAAACAAAACTTTCATAAAAATCAGAACAAGTTCAGTTCAAAGGCATAAGGATCCTAAACATACTAGTAACACCTAGTTGTATATAGTAAGGCTTTACAGCGTCATAAAGAAGCCAATATAAGAGGAAATGCTAAAAACTTCAATCACTATTTATCACAAGATGAAACTTGAAAAACTTTTAGAGGCCTACAAAAGAGAGAAGCAAAGGGCCAATGAAGTTTTGTGGACCTCAACCCTCCATGGAGTCAACATCAAAGAGCTGATTCAGAGTCCTCATGGAGTACTTTGCCCAAGCTCACTTTGTAAGCTATAACTTTTGAAATTAATTCCTCTTAGAGCAGTTTTTTGTGAGTTCCTAATTTTGGGTAGTGCTTTTTGTATCCCCACTTTGTACTTTTCATACACTCAACAAGAAGTTATCATTACTTATCAAAATAAGTAAATAAATAAACAGTTCCTCTGACCAAAAGAAAAAAAACTTTTTAAAACAAGAAACAACACTCACAAACCAAAGAACGCTATAAGCAGGGGAGAGAAGAAACAAAAACCCACCAATCCAATAACAAATATGATTTCAGAAATGCTCTTTTCCCTCCTTTCTTTATAAAGCTATGGAAAGTTTGCATTTCAAAGGAGGTGAAGTTGCTTGCTTAACTTGTTTCTTACAAGTGGATAGACACCTACAGTGACATACGGATATTGTGTGTGCCTATTTTTACCCCTTAAATTTAATCTGCACATTTTATGATTCTGGCCCCCCAAGATAGGGAAGCAAGCTGTGCGACACCAAGCAATCTGGAGATATATAAAAAAATCAATATGAAATTTTTTATAAAAGGATTACTTTGAAGGAACTACAAAAGCAATGAAAGCCTTCTGTTATGCTAAAGCAACATCAGATACGTCACGAGCTGGTTCCAACTACATTTATCTAGTTTAAGACCGGACTAACTACATCACAAGTAGAAATCCATTGGGTTGCTATAAAACCATAACACATATAATCCTAACTAAATTATCAGAGTAACCAACGTATATGCAAACAAAGTATCAAGGGAATAGAAGTTTGATGAGGAGCATACTCTTCGTTTTGGCTGTGAACAGCAATCGTAGGAAACAAGGGACCCTTTATGTCCTTTTCTACTGCTCCAACAACTATCCCATTTTTTCTGGTACATCGACAGAAGAACCAAAGTATCATGATGATAACCTTTAACAAAAACCTTACAACTAAACAATTACAGTGCAAGAATGTCTTACGTGAAAAAGAGTTCCCCTGAGGCGTAATTAATTCCAGCACCAACCGTATCATCAGATGTATATGTTGGACCAAAAGGTTCTTTCTTACCCACTCCACGATAAAGTAGTCCGTCATCTCCATGATATCCACAGCTATTAGGTTCCCACCTACTCGTCCAAATTAACAACACAGGGCATTTGAGAGCTTACAATGAGAAGGGGAGGGGATATCTACGGAAAATGCAGAAGAGCTAAACGAAGTTAAATTTGTTGGATGAAAGTCCTACATCGGCTAATTTAGAGAATGATCATGAGTTTATAATCAAATAATACTATCTCCATGGGTATAAGAGGCCTTTTGGGGAAGCCCAAAGCAAAATCATGAGAGCTTATGCTCAAAGTGGACAATATCATACCATTGTGGAGAGTTGTGTTCATCTAACATGGTATCAGAGCCATGCCCTAAACTTAACCATGTTAATAGAATCCTCAAATGTTGAACAAAGTATTGTAAGCCTCGAAGGCATAGTAAAAAATGACTAAGACTCCAAAAGAAAAGGAGTTGAGCCTCAATAAAGGGGAGGCGTACTTTGTTCGTTGGACGAAAGTCCCACATCGGCTAATTTAGGGAATGATCATGGGTTTATAATCAAAGAATACTATCTCCATTGGTATGAGGTCTTTTGGGGAAGCCCAAAAAAACCATGAGAGCTTATGCCAAAAGTAGACAATATCATACCATTGTGGAGAGTTGTGTTCATCTAACAAAATCCACTCAAGAATCTTAAAGATAAGCTCTAACTCGATAATTGCAGATACTATATTCAATTCCATTTATCAATTCCAATAAAAAGAAACATTCGTAACATTTCCGAGTGACAAAGAAAGAATCCACATAATCAATGCAATCACGGCAAAACCGAAAATCAAATCAAGAAAGAAAGAGAAATAGAGGAAGTACGTCCTACCCGGGCTGCCTCCGCACCTTGAACCTATCGGTGGTGAAGCCGATGGCAATCTGGCCTTTAGCCCCAGCGTTTTTTACATGAATCTCGAAGTAGTAGACAAGTCGTTTAACAGGAGCTGGCTTATTAGCTTGGATGACACCAACATCGTGGTCGTGAAGATTCACATTCGTATACTTAATAGAAAGCTTATCGGTGGCAACGAACAAGAAACCTCCGGAACTGTTGATGGTATTGAGCTCAGTGGGAGACTCGTCGTCGTCGTCCGTGTCGCATAGCCCAAATCGAACCATTTCCAAGAACTGCAATCCGAGATCTTGAGGAGTAGTAGAATTAGTGGTGTTAATCACGTTGTTGCTACTGTTGATGCGATCGTTCATCTTCAAGGAAAATTCGTTCCCCCTAGAATTCAGTAACCATTTCGAAATCGATTGATTGGAGGCGAAGTCGAATACTTGAAATTTCAAGATACGGCAATGGAGGCTTTCGGGAAATTGAAGAAGGAAGAGAAACCGCAATGGAGTAACAAAGAAAAGAATCTTTAATATTTTCTGTTTTTCTGTTTTTTTTTTTTTTTTTTTTTTTTTTTTTTTTTTTTTTTTTTTTTTTTTTTTTTTTTTTTTTTTTTTTTTTTTTTTTT